AGGAAACGGGTTTTTCGCGCAGCTCGGAGTACTGCGCAAGAAATCCCATCGCCAGATCTCATGAATCCCGAGGACTTCCGAAACAGTTCAATAGGTTTTTAGAAAGAGCAAGTCTTCATACACTCGAATCCGTTCTCAGATTTGTGAAATGTTGAGTTACAAAAAAAATATATTGATTCAAACCTGTTCCTGAAAAAAAATCCCTATCGAATCCCCAAGGCAATTTCTCTGTGATTTTTGCGACCTTCATGAACATTTTAGTACTTTTAGGAAGATCAAACCTTCCTCTACACGAATACGCTTTCCTCTTTTACCCATAGGTCTCGCTTTTGAGAGAAGCTTATAGGCTACTTCAGACACCTCTACTTTGCTGAAAATTTGCTTTCCCACGGCTGCGTCCTTGCCCAGAATCCCTTCCTCTGGTACTTCGACGCCGCGCGATTTAAACGGCTGTTCCCATGTGCGCGCGGGAAAGTTATTCAAAGAGGTTACCCGGCTTCGTTTAGGCTGTTATGCATTTCTTTTTGGTTTTCTTTTCTGTTATGACACTTTTTGTATTTTTTTTCTTTTCAATCACAGTCTCCTTTATTCGCCTAGAGTTTCAATCCTGCTTTATTTTGGATGCTTTTCGTCGCAGGTTCGAGCTCATAATATTTTTTTCTTTTCTTCTTTTTACAAAACTACAAAAAAAAGGGGGGGGTCGTACATACCCCAAAAAAGGGGGTTTCGTTACAGGGCTCGACCAAAGTCCCTCATCGAATGCTGTTGGCCCTGCCCCTCGAAAAGCCCAGTGGAGGAGCCGGGTTCGGTATGCGGTAGGACGTGGGCAATGGATTGTTACGAAACTTTGACATGAAGGTAAGCTATCGGCCCCCGCCCCACTGTAGGGGGGGGGGGGCGTGGGGCACAGTTGCTGAGCTACTATATTTCTAAATTCATAATTCGCCTTCCAGAAGACCGAGAGCGGAAAACAGTGAAAAAGTGGGGAAATCACAGGCAATCAGGCTGAGCGGACGAAATTGAGGAGGCACGGCCCGTTGATGCGGCGGGGCGATTGCTTATACAAGGTGGTGGTGCTTTGCTTGCAAAACATTCAAAATCGCAGTTGCGCATTATAAAAAAGCCATGAGAGCGGAAAAAGTGGAAAGGACAGAGAATGAATGGTTGAGGGGGCACGGTCCGCTGCGGACGTGGTTTGAATCAGAATTTCGCAATTCACTAAAAATAAAATAATAAATATTCAAATAAACTAATAGAGCGGGAAAAGTGTACAACAATGGAAATGGGTAGGGGACTGAAAGCAGACGTAAGTGCAGTGGACGAGGCCTCAAACTACTAGATACTCCTCAACGAATTTGCGAACTGTCACTTCTTCTACATACATTCAGCTTCGTTCTGATAATCTTAAAGGTTTTGCGTAGCCACGCTAAACGACTGGAAGCAGCCGAACACCAGTAGAATATTGCTTTACGGCCTCAATTTTCTAAACACCCACGCTTCTCGAGAACCTGCAGAGAGGTGTAACTTAGAAAAGTTAAATAGCTCCCTAACTAGGAGGGGGGGCAACGGTGAATGAAACTATGGAAATTTTGAAAAAAAAAAACGTTTTAGGGCAATATGGCTGGTGGCCCTTATCATATACCAGTCGGATCGGCCGGCTTAGCCGGCCGATCCTCCTTCCGCGTGTGAAGTGGGTCCCGGTGAGAAGTTTTCTCGAGTGGCGAGGGCCAGTCGGCCGGCTTCGCCGAGCGAATGGTCGAAAAAATATTGTTTTGAGAATTAGCGCACTTTACCGTTTCACTTCTTGTATACCCCTCCCCCTAGGACAGTCGTCAAAATTTTCTATGCGGCATTCCCCTTACTAGGGAAGGTCGTCAGGTCGAAGTGGCCATTTGTGATGAGATGTAGATCACTAGACGTGGTTTTGACGCTGATCTTGAATCTGCCTTCAAAATTTGCAAAGCGATTCTCTGAACGGAGTTATGGAGCCGCGTTTACCACGCAACAGGTCATGGGATCGGATCCCTGCTGAGCTTAACTTTTTTGCTTGTTGCGCAACGTGGCAAAAAGTGATTTTGCCGTCACTACTACTTCAGTTCTCACCTGAGCTTGTCTGAAGAAAAGTTTGCCTCCATTTATTACTGCGCTTGGACTCCTTGTAGAAGCACTGTAGTGCACTGTAGTCTACAAGGAGTCCAAGCGCAGTAATAAATGGAGGCAAACTTTTCTTCAGACAAGCTCAGGTGAGAACTGAAGTAGTAGTGACGGCAAAATCACTTTTTGCCACGTTTGCAACAAGCAAAAAAGTTAAGCTCAGCAGGGATCCGATCCCATGACCTGTTGCGTGGTAAACGCGGCTCCATAACTCCGTTCAGAATCCCCGCTTGCTTTGCAAATTTTGAAGGCAGATTCAAGATCAGCGTCCAAAACCACGTCTAGTGATCTACATCTCATCACAAATGGCCACTTCGACCTGACGACCTTCCCTAGTTAGTGAGAGGAATCGCAGAATTAAGTATTGCCGACGGTACCAACCATTTGGTACACTGTCTAGGGTTATCCCTCACTAACTTCATCTGCCAAACCATTCAGTCAGTTTCACCTTTACTCCCCATTTTGTGGGGTTTTTCGTATGCGTTTTGAGGATTTTTGCCCTCGGCACCGTTCACTTCGGCGAACGCCCCGCCCGTCAGGGGTGTGCTTCATTGATTTCGTCCGCCAACTGATTGCCTATCGTTTGCCACTTTTTCCGCTCTCGGGGCTCTTTTGGAACCGAACTGCGAATTTTTGAAAGTTTCGTAGCAAGCACCGCCCACCTATAGAAACGCCCGCCCAAAGTGGGTTTGTCTCACCCCACTTCGTCCGCCAACCGATAGCCTATTTTCCGATCTTGAGGGTATTTTGGAACCAGACTACGAATTTTTGAAATTTGTAGCTCACAACTGTGCGCACGCCCCGCCCACAATGAGCGGCGGCCCTTAGCTTTGATCATGTGTGTTCCGTACATCTTGGCCCATGCCCTACCCAACCCACCCTTGACCCGCCCCTCCAACTGGCTCTTCAGGTGATTCCGAATTTCCGGACAGACAGACAGACAAACAGACAGACAGACAGACAGACGACAGACAGACAGGACAGACAAGACAGACACGTTTATATATAGTAAGATATCCGACGAAGCCGGCCGATCTGACTGCCCATCTATTTTTTGGAAATGTTTGGGGGAAGACCCACTTCACACGCAGAAGGAGGATCCGACCAAAGGATAAGAAGCAAGGCCCTGAAGCTGGATCCTTGTAGGTTTCTTAAGCTTTCACCACATAACGGTCGGCTAAAATCACTTGATTTACATGAGTTTTCATAACTTCGCAATCATATCATCGCTTGAATCTTTGATCCTTCATGGATGTTACCTTGATTCCTCATTTATGCGGAAACACTCTGTGTCAATAAATAAATGAAGTGCAGAATGCACCCCTTTCTCCCTGAGCTGAACATTCTCAGCTGGTTCGACCCAAGTGATAGATCCTATGAAGATAGAATGGAGTCACTTCCTGAAAATGTGTTATATCTCATTCTCTCCCTCTTCGTCTCCGTATCCTTCGTCCAACTTTATGAGAGAGGAAATGGAAGAACAACCTTGTGCATCCCAAAAGTTCAGGCGCAGAAATGGGGATCTCTGGACTGGATTCGAGCAGAGCATTTAAACATGTTTGGTACTGCCGAATCTAAAGTCGCGGACCACACTGATCGCATGGCCGGAAAGAGGCGTAGAGATCTAGTCATTTCATACTGTCCTAAAGTTTCTCTTTCTTCCAGAGAAGACGATGCGGAAAGGTGCACCAAGGAGGAAACCCGGTTGCCGACTGCCTTCGCCTACTGGAGATTCTGTTCTGATGGAACCTGCACTAGTATTGTGATCACCGACTGCCACACTCTGTTACTTTCCATGGGTCGAGAAGGCTGTCGTTCCAAGCAGATGGATTAGCTATTTCAAAAAAAACTATACTAACCCTAGAACTTCAGATTTTTCGTAACGAATAACTTGACTAGATTGACCAAGCTAGCTAGCTAAAGGCTTCGGATGTGAAGATATTTACTAGAAAAAGACTTTTCTACTCCGAAAGCTTTCGCGCTCATCTCCAGGGTGCGGCTTCAAGTTTCACCAATACCACTAGGATCAAAATCTTGCAGAATTAGTGCCACTTTCGTAATCCGCTTTCTTCGCGTCTCTTGTGTTTCACAGTTTAGTACTAGGAGGTGCAAATGAGCGCTGTGAATCAGAATAAGGGGAAAACCTGCACAAAGAAGCTCATTGTAGGAAGATCACCTCATTACAAAGTGTTTCTGCATTTTCTGAGAAGTGAGAGGCGCACCAGCACCGAAGGTGCAATGGTTGAATGTCTCCGCCCACACGATCAGCTTGGACTGCGCTTGTGAAGGCCACTGATTTCGTTGATTTGACCACCGGATTTGACTACTGATTCTGAGTACACTTTTTAAGTAGGCGCGGGAACAGCATTTAAATTTGCTCTCTTTCTGGAAAGCAAGTAACGTCTGCTTCTAAATTTGAGCTACCCGCACCAGAACGCATAGTTCATTCAGTTGTGAACGAACTGTTTTCTGCCATATGCCCTTCAAATGCGACGAATTCCAGCAACCCCAGTACCTATTCCCGTTGCAATTAAAGCGGGTTGTATACGGTAGCTTCGGCGGTCTGCATTTGCGGACTTACTTCACCACAGTGCATTTCGAATTCAACTGTGGAACTTTTCGAATATATTGCTTTTCGTAAATTTAATCTCGACTCTCCCGAGGGTAACTGCTTCCGCACGAGGTGCTAACATTTCCGATTTATCTGGTGTTCACTGTTTTTCTTGGTTATTTTGGAGCATCTATTTTTAGTAATAGTGGTGTTATCTCTTGCAAACGTAAAATTTGTTCATTTTTGTACGTCCTCACCACTTTTATACGATACTTTACAACTATTTACAGGGACTATGGTGACCGTGTTGAAGGAGATCCCTACTCTTTTTGACAAGTGTTAGTATCACTTATTCGATATTTTTGTTGTTACTGCGGGTTACTCCAAGTTGATTTGAGCTTAATTTTTCAGTCGGCGTCGCTCGCAATGTGCTGGAGAAGATCTCCTTATGGCGTGGCGACATCACACGCCTAGAAATTGACGCCATTGTTAACGCAGCAAACAACGGTTTACGTGGAGGTAATTTGGCCCATTCAGCTATATTTGAACGATTGAAACAGAATTTGCACCGCTTCCATTGTGTCATTGTCCTATGTTGTTGTGATGCTGATCACTGACTCCCGTGAAGGCCTGTAAACAGAGTACAGCATCGTGAGTGAAACATATGGGAGGGGGGTTCGTTCTTAGCCACTGGAGAGGGGGTCGTAATTGGTCGTTGTTGGGAGAGAGGGGGTCGTATGTACCTTTGGGAGAATTTCGCCACGTTGGAAAAATTTTTTTAAGGTTGTTGACTTTTCGCAGTTTTTCCCGTTTCACATGTGCTATTTACCCCCCTCCCCCCCTACCGCTGCCACCCCTTCCCCGCTCGACGGTATATCTTGGGTGAAAACTCGTAGGAAACTGGGAAATGGTGGGGAAGGGGTGGGGGTCGTACTGACACCACCACTTCACACATGACGGTGCTGTACGCTGCTGTGAATTCCTACGCAATAGCATGAGCTTCGTTTACCCGTGACAAGAGCTTAAGGTCTTAATGAGATATCTAATTTGATGGGAACTAGGAACGAATGTCCTCCCCTCTCTCCCAAGGCCTAACGGTGCGTAGTAGATGTGCTACACGTGCGTGATAGTACTTCGAAAAACCTATTTGAAAGCCTCAACAGGAATGGAAAGTTTTAAAGCCAATGTAGTCCGATTTTGCGGGACTGCTTCTATCGAAAACCCCGTATAACTAGTTTTCAAATAGGTAAGGTCGGAAGGGACCACATAAATAGAAAGGTGGTCTTAGCATTCTTCCCGCGCTTAAGACTCTTTCAGTGGAGGCAATTTTTTTACTCTCAAACATACTACCTGATTCTAAGAGCCAGAACTGCGGACCCAGAAACAACAAAGAAAAGCCGCTAGCTCGCTCTAGATCTTGTCTGGCTCGGATCATAGCCTGTTTAGCTGCGAAAGTTAGTTGCCATTATTCTGCGCAAAAAACGCTGGCAACTCAACTGTCGTAGCAGGGCAGGATGAAAAGATTTAGGGCCTGAAATGTGGGACCTTTTTTGTTTTTAGACTAGTATGATTGACGTTCAATTCGCTCGTTTGTCTGATCAATCTGACCGTAAATGCTTCACTGTTAAGTCGAGAAAGGCGCTATATCTCTCTGCGATATAGAACACACGTCTAGATGGGAGGATTCGGGAACGATGACGATTTTCACCTTTTGTACATTTCTACACCTTCATAGTTTTCTTTCTTATCAGTTTCGTCTTTATAGGTGGAGGAGTAGATGGAGCCATACATCGTGCTGCTGGCACTGCTGAACTGCAGAAAGAGTGCCGAGCCATAGGTCACTGTGACACAGGTGCTGCGGTGATAACAAGCGGATGCAAGATGTCTCATATCAAAAGTATGTCTTACTTTCATAAACTACTTCTTGCTGTCGCACCATTCATTCCTTTACTGCCCCAATTTTCGAAGCTCGG